TCTGAAAATTATGCTGCAGCCTAAATTTTTATACTGTTACATATTGCAATGGGCCAAAATTCAATCAATTTTTTTTATAATTTAAGCCTGAGTGATCCAATTTACTTCTAAACCCAATTTAAAAGCTAAAACCAAACCCAATAGTCGTCTATGACTATCTTTAAATCCATTTATGCTTAAATTTACATATTTATCATTTATTAGTTTAATTAATCAAGAGAATAGTTCTCAAAATGTTACATGATGTGGCATTGGTTGACCCACATATGGGCAGGTGGGGTGTCAAGTAAGTTGGCATGTGCAGATGCACACGTGGCTGGTGAGGTGTCAGGTGACAAAGCATTGGCTGATTCACGCATGGCAGGTGATGTGGTTGGTGATGTGGCATTGACATGGCAATGAAACCATGGGAAATGTAGTTTTCATTTTTTTAGAGACAAATTTAGAGACTATTATATACCGTCTTTATCATTTTATATAATTTTTAGAGCATTTTATAGCAACATATTTTTCATAAAAATTAGAAACGACATTTTTTTAGATAGAATAAATTTGTCTCTAATAAGAGATGGCTTAAAAAATCCCTCTCTAATTATTTAGTGGCACGCTTTTTTGAGACACCATAATATTTGTCTCTAAATCCGTTTTTACTTGTTTAGAAATAAATTTTTTATTAGTTGGAGATGGATTATTAGGTGTCTCTAACATTTTTTTTTGTAGTGATTAGAATTTATGTGTGTATGCCCAAATTGATTTTCCTTTTTTTTTTTTCATTGAGTACATATGTCCTTTTATTGAAAGTAAGACATATAGAGATGCTAAATATGTGTATGTTTATATATATATATATATATATATATAATTCAAATAATAGATTATGACGTGTGTTATAACGTCCCTTCCAGCCCATAATATAAGATGTTTTTAGAAGTTTTGTTTGGTCCTTAATAAAAAAAACCTTATAAAGCTTAATAAAGTATTAATGAGTCATTTTAAAAATTGCCCACATATTCAATTAGTTCATTTAGGTGGCATGTTTAACTTTGAGATTTAAAAGTAAAGTTAAATTTTTTTATTAAAAGTCATTTGGCATTATTATAGAGATTTAAATAATAAAGATTCTTAAGTAATTTTAATCACTTTTTTAATCCGCATTATTGGATTAAAAATGTTTTAATATCCTAAACTATTTGCTTTCTTGCCTAAAGTAATTAAAACTTTTATATTTGTGTCCTAAACTTTGTCTGCTCCCCACTAACAACTTTCTACACCAATACTAATTCTCTAGTGTTTACTTTTACATTTGAACATATTTCGAAATTTTTGGGATAATTTCAATTGAGGATCAACAACGTAACTTAATTATTAATGAGTCTTAAAAACAAAAAATTTTAGTTCAATCCAAGAGGATAGAAGTGAAAATAATTTTAATAATAAAAATATCAAAATACCCTTCACTTATTAATTTTTTTCAAAATATATAATCATTAGTTATTAATTTTTTTATTTTATTTATTAATTTACTAATATGAGTTGTAAATTATATGACTTGACCTATCAATAGTCATACAAGACTTGAACATTACTTGAACATCAATTGTTCAATCAATTTATTAGACAAGGAGCAATATCAGTAGTTAATTTGTTAATTTTATTTATTAATTTACTAACATCAATTATAAATTATAAGAATTGCCAATAATGTATAACTGATTTTAGTATATTAATAAGTAAAATTAGCAAGTGAGGTCAGTGTTTGTCTGACAAACTGATTGGTCAACTGATGTTAAGTGTTGTATGATTATTGTAAAGTCAAGTCAATTTAGTTATGGAATTTGTCACTCATATTAATAAATTAATAAGTGAAGTAAGAAATTAATAATTTATAATTTTGTATATCAGGCAAAATTAAAAAGTAAATGATATTTTAATTTTTTTTAACTGGTGAAATTATTTCACTTCAGTCCTCCTGGACTGACTGAAAGTTCAGATTTGTTAGGACCCGTTGATAATTAAGTAATGTCTCGATGCTCAATTGAAATTGTCCTTAAATTTTTCTAATGAATATAGTATTGGTTCTCTCTCCAATGTCCTTTCTTTACTGGATTTCGCCCACAGTGCGAGCCAGCCAGTGTACTAGCTTCTGCATGCATGCTCTGATTTGAAAGGAAAGAAGCATAATGTTTTAAGATATATTATTTTTTAAGACAAAGTCTCTAATTTCAGAATACGAATATTCTCCTAATAAATTATAAATATAAAGTGCACATTTATAAAATAAATATGTCTTAAAAGAGTACGAAGGACATTTTACTTTTTACGCGTTTCTATTGTGTATATATTTTATGGTCTAAATAATTGAATATTACTGTGAAACTTTGTTTGGCCCAAAAAAAACCACAATTTGATTAAGATTCATAATTTAAAACGTAATCTAATCTAAATAATAAAATTAGTGAAATTCATATAGAAGAAAGAATTATATTAAATGCCCAAGACTGGACAATATTTATTTTAAAAGTCCTTAAAATTTCCAATTTTTTCACGATTAAAAAATAAAATTTATGTTTATAAGTACACACACCAAATCTTCCCTCACAGAGTCACCATAATAATATATACTCCATTCTAAAATATAAGCAAATTTTAAATAATTCACACAATTTAAAAAATTTAGTTAATCCTAATAATTTATGTCTTAAATAAAAAATTTTAAATTAAAATGTCCTTATAATTAATCCTTTTTTAATTTAATGATACTATCATTAGATAAAAAAATGTACGAAATATTTTTTTGAAAATTATTGTTTTGTTTATAAAAAAAAAGAAACAAAAATTTATATAAAAATTTTGCTTATATTTCAAAACGGACATTGAATACACACACACACACACACACACACATATATCTCATGTAAAATGAAAGAGTTAATTATTTTCCTTTCCCTTTTTTTCTTTACGCATCCATACTTATAAGCATGACTTGATAGTGATTGAAGAGGAGAGGGTCCTACTCCTTTTAGCCATGATACAACAATAGAATTATGTATAGTCTGACATTTGCAAAACATAATTTGTTTTATTAGGTCATTATTAACATCCAGCTTTAAGATAGTACATTTTTTTGTTTGATATAATGGAGGCGTTACATATTGATTGGTAGGTGGAGATGTTACATCCAACAACTTTGACAGATGTAAGGATTCGATGTCTTGTAACTGTGAGCTAATCGGTGTAAATTATAATGAAATTTAAACCATTTAATTAATTTTTAAAATGATAAATTTATTTTTTAAGAAACAATAAAAAGATTACTTTGTTAGAGAATTTTTATGTATTATGATAAAAAAATAAAAATAAAACATCAAATATCATGTCCCTTGTATCTTTTCTTGTCTCACATCCTCTACCCTTCTCACCTTTGAGAAGGGTAGAGGTGAGACAATAAAATTAGAAGGTGAGAAGGGTAGAGGGGGTGACACAATAAATGATACAAGGGTTTGGCATGCAATGGTGAGAAGGGTAGAGGAGGTGAGACAATAAAATTAGGTGAGAAGGGTAGAGGAGGTGACATAATAAATGATGCAAGGGTTTGGCATGCAATGGTGAGAAGGGTAGAGGAGGTGAGACAATAAAATTAGAAGGTGAGAAGGGTAGAGGAGGTGACACAATAAAGGATAAAGGGTATGGCATGCAAGATATTAGATGCGAGATTATAAACATGGGGTGTAAGGTTATAGGCTTGGTATGCAAAGTGATAAGTATGGCATGTATTTGGACGTTAAATTAATGTTGGTTTGTCTAAACAATTTAACTCCTAAGGAGGGATTTTACGGAGATTGTCCCAAAGATAAAAAGCAATGTGTGTAACAAAGTTTGTTTTTTTAAATTTCTTTTTAGCCTTTTAATATATTGTTTTTTTATAAAAAAAAACTATATAAGTTTTATTAATGATGTTTTTTTTTACTACCTTTCTCATTATATTCTCTTTCTTTTTTTAGTATTCATTCATAGATGCAGAATTAAATTAAGGACATTTTTGAAGTTTAATTTTTTTTTGAAAAAATAAGATTGTAAATTATATTTAATGAACTTTATTGACATATATGGCTTTATCTAAACATGGTTTATAAACTAGAAGGGAGAGAACACATAACTTCAAGTATTTTTAAAATAATACTCTTTCCATACCAAATTATAAGATATTTGTTAAAAGAGATTCAGCATCTAAAACTATAAGACATTTTGACAAAAATAAAATTTTATTAATAATACTTTTTGAATATTACTTTTTCTATTATACTCTCTCTTTTAATATTCTTTCACAAATAAAATATTAAATAAAGGATATTTTTGAGATTTTATATTTTTATTTTTTTAAAAAATAAAGTTAAAAAATATATTTAATGAATTTTATTAGTATACATAATTTTATTTAAAAATATTTTATAATTTAGGATAAAATGAATAATAAAACTATTACTCATATAAAATAAAAAATGTAACAACCAATTAATTCAGGGTACCTGAGTAGTGAGTTGGCAAAAGGGCCGAAAAAACTGTAGGGTAGCCGAAATAAATTATCTAAGTTAATTATTGAGAAAATTTCAATAAAGACCTCCCCTCGTAATTAATAAAAAAGAGAGCCCCGAATATTCTTGAACTTCACTGTAATTAGTGAAATCAAAGTGATAAGAGAAATGACAAAACTAATCCTTTCCACAAAGCATACTTGGATGATGCAAACATGGGTTGATTATTTTCCTATTGTTTGTTGTCTGTTACTTTATATTAAATTGTTTATTGCCCTTGTAACATCCCAATTTTTAATTCCTTAATTTTCTAAGCTTAATTAAGATAATTAAGTAAGTTGACCTGATGTGTGGTTAAAGGAGAATAATAAGTGTTCTTAGTTGAAATTTCAGGTATATTTTATGCCCAAAGTGAAATTGGGTCACTTAGGGACTAAAAAGTGAAGAAAAATAAGCTAAAAAGCCTATATGCCACATGTCGTGGCATGTATGCGGTGCATTGTGGTTCGCAGGGCCACAAAACGAGAGCTGCTTTCTCTGTACCACATGCCGTGGTGCGTGGAGATAGGTGCTGTGGCGAGCAATGCGAATTTTGCAGTTATCAGTTACAAAAATGAGACAGAAAAAAAAGAGAAAAGAGAAGAGAAAACAAAGAGACGCACTAAGCTCTGTTAGAATTTACTTGTGGATGGCATGGGAAGTATTTTGGAGGCTACAAACACCTAAGATAAGTATCATACTCATTAATCTCCCCATTTCTTCCATATTTATGAGTTTATAGTTAGGGTTTGATAGTGAAAGTGAATTTTCGATCCATATGAGCTATGAGTATGAATTTATTGACTCAAATGAAGTTAATGGGAGTATATTAGAGTATATAAACTTAAATATAATAAATTTTGATATCTTGAGTTGTTGGGCATCATTAATATCTAGAAATTTCATTTATTATGGGCGGTTGGAAGATTTTGATGTCATTAATGAAAATTTAATGATTCATTAATGTTATTGGAGACTAAAGGTAATTAATAAACCCAAAAGATAGGCTCAAACTCTTGTGGAGTGAATATTAGGCAATTTAGAAGTGGAGATTGAGGGTTTAATGCTTGAGTTGGTAATGTTGATGAAATTTAATTTGGTTAATTATAGTTTTGACTCTTAGTGTGAACACTGTATTTTGTCTGGACATTTTTCTAAATTTAATAAAAATAATAATAAATAACTAAAAATATATAAAAATATAAAAATAAAATTTAATCATTTTTAGGATTATATTTTTAAAAAAAATATAATTAATAGGGTTTAATTTTGTTTTAATTTAGATAGTCTTTTGATGGTTAGGATTTTATTTCTTTTATTTCATCAAAAAAATATAAAATATATAAAAATAAAATTTAATCCTTCTTTAGGATTATATTTTCAAAAAATAATAATTTAGCAAAATTAAAAAAAAATCTTGCTTAAATTTTTTAAAATCTCTTCCAAATTATCCTAATCATTCAAGAAATATTGAGAGTCAATTTTTGAGAGTTAACTTTTCTCTTCTTAAATCTTATTTTTCACTTAAAAAAATATGTGTGTGTATTAACAAAATAATAATAATAATAATAAATAAAAATATTGCAGGGCCAAATGAAATGTTGAGTATCAGCGTTTCATCACAGCCCTTAAAGGGCCTTCCTTAAACACATGCAGACGCGACAGAAAAGGAAAAAGAAAGGGAAGTGAAACACGCAGACATAGCCAACCAAGAGAAGCGTCGGAAAAGGGAGAATGAAGCCCATATGCGTGCGAAGGAGAAGAGCAGAGCAGAGCTTGCCAGACATGCAAGCAAAAGAAAGAGAGAGCACACAGATGTTACAGAAAGGAAAGAAAAGCAGAGCACAGAGGGAGAAGCCGAGGGCGATAAAGAGAACTGAAACCAAACAAAAAAGGAGTAGGGACGAAAAGAGAGAAGCAGGGAAGCATAGGCACACACATACACAGAGGAGGCCTTCCCTCTAAAAATGCATGGGCGATAAGATGAAAAAAATAGAAAAAGAAGAGTAAAAAACTAAGAGGGAGAGACCGAGGACGGATCGGAGATGAAGAGAAAAATATAGCGCAAGAACATAGCACAGACGATAGACAAAAAAAGAAAAAGGAGAAAGCAAAAAGAAAAGGAAAAAAGCAAGACGAAAACGGAGAGGAGACAGAGGGGGCAGCGGCAGAGATTTAAGGAGGTTAGAATGAGAGAGAAACGCAAAAAGAGTTGGAACAAGGGAGGATGAAAAATAGAGGGAGAGTTAAAGAGAGAGGCGGAGAATATGAGAGCTGTGATAGGGATGAATGAGATGAACAAACGAGAGAAAGAGAGAGAGAGAGAGAGAGAGAGAGAAGGAGCAGCAGCGTCCATCGAGCAAAGAGGAAGCTGCTTCACACTGTCGGGAGAGAGAACATCATGGACTTTTGGATCTGTACAAGGAAGGAGGAGTACTGGGCAGAAGAAGCAGCATGCTGTGACTATGAGGACTATGAGTGAGGAAGGAGGAGAGAAGCAAGATATGAGGAATACACATAAGGCAATAAGAGCAGAGATAAAATTCCAAGTAAAAATTTAATTTGCTTCTTAATTTTTTTGATTAATCCCATTACCTTGAAGAAAGTATGATGATCATTGTTAAAATGGAAACTCTAAATAAAATTCTTGTCTACTGTCTGATTTACCTTGATCTGATTTCAATGTATATTCCCATCATGATTTTGTCTCAAGCAAAGTGAAGGAATTTTTATGCTTGTTAGACTAAGATTAAATTAGATCTAAAATATATTTTTAGCGTAAAAGAGCATATGAATGGAATCTGATTTTTTTTTTGAAAGGTTAAGACATTAACTTTATTTTTTATTTTTATAGGAGATAAATCGAGTATTGATAGTAGTAATGATATGTAAATCTTATTTATTTATTTTATTGTTGGATGCTATCACCATTACTCTCATGATTTCCTTTTGAAAGCCATATTTGAGCATTAAATCAATTTGAAAATTTTGAAGAATACATCCTTAAGTCAAAAGAGGAGTGAAGAGTCACAATAGTTTCTTTTTCTATTCCTATGAATGCTAAATTCATATTATGCACCGATTGTAAATGCAAATATCGTAATTATCTATTTGTTGTGTGACATTTTAAGAATCTTCACAGATATTTAAAATGATCCTATATCATGCAAATTAATAAGATTTCATAGGTATGAAGATCTAACTCGTATATATTAATATGGGTTCCTGTCGTACCCGGAAATGCGACGCAAACGGCACAAGAGCGGAGGTTACGACCTTCGGAAGGAAGTCCGGAGAAATGGGAGTTGCCACCAAGATTTTGAGGAAAATCTCGGGAAATCGTTTAAAGGTAGATAAGGATGGTCTGCGAAAACAGAAAATAAGTTCGATAGTCGATTGAGTGTGGGGAAGGTGTTAGGCACCTTACATCACCCGTTTGTAAGAACAGTTACCTGAAGTTTGTTGTGCTAAATTAATATAGTTTTAAAATTATTTTAATTATCCCTTTTATATTCATGTGTTTGATATAAAAATGATAACAATTAAGCAAGAAATATTTATTTATTTACGGGGAGGACTTGACTAAGAATCTAACTCTGAGGCCTACGTACCCTGCGATGGGGATCAAAGTTCACATAGTTCGAGCTTATAAGTTGTTGGTGAAAATATTTTTTTTGAAGAGAAATTAATCAAAAATAACTCACCATTTTCAAAATAAAACAATTTCTGAAATTTTGATATGTGTGTTCTAAATTGAAAAAAGTGATTTAATTTCAATTAATTTTATCTATTTTTGAATTTTTGGAAAAGAAAAGGATTTAAAATTATTTTTTATTTTATGATTGGGAATTTAATTGTAGTTCTTGCAGAGCCTTATTAGCTCATATGATAATGCAATCATTCTAAATATTTGTGGAGATTTTAAAATCTCTCACGATAAAAGAATTAAATTTATTTATATGTTAGTAATAATTTATTCAAGCATGCATGTATATGTTTTTAGAGAATTATAATCATCATACCTGCAAAGCCTTATTAACTTTTACGGTAATACAATTATCCTAGAGGTCTCTGGATATTCAAAAATTTCACATGACCAAAAGATTTAATGCATTAATTTAATTAATTAATTTTATTTATAAAAAATTTATAATTTTATTTATGAAATTTATTTATTTATTTTATAAGTTAATGACCATGACATTTGTGAGGACTTATTATCCTTCACAACGAGGCGATTAAGCTGAATATCTACAGAGATTTTTTAAATCTCTCACGATACCATTCAAATATTTTAATTGATTGTATTTGTGAAATAATAACAACAAACTCCTTCATTTAACCACACATTTAAAATCTCCATATGAAAATGATATCATGCAAAATCAAAATTATCTTCAAGAATTAATCAATTATTATTAAATGGAAATTAAACACAAAATAATGTATGACTTTGAGAAATAAAGAAATAGAAATTAAATTTAAGTTGACTAATACTCTTTCATGCTAGAAGACAAACTTGAATCTTCTTATCACTTAGCTAAACAATAAAATTTTTGTTCAAAATGTTAGAATCAAAAAAACATCATGCAAAAGTATTATAACTAAATCAACCTCATTTGTAAAAGCATATAAACACATGTTAGAGCATATTTAAAGTATATAACATTATTTCGAAAAAGGAAAGCATAATGTTACAGGGCTACTTTCTCTTCAAATATTTTCACTTATGTTTCCTATCCATACTTGAATGTTTAAAACCTCTAAATTTTCTTATTTTAAAAATATGAGGAATTATCATCAAGGATCCCTTTCATGATACAAATATACTCACGTATTTGTTGTCAGGTTTTAGAACAAGAACAATATGAAGGAAAATACAAGTGTGGCGTACCAAATAGCAGAGCAGAGAAGGGAGAAAAACAACTCAGACTTCTTGCAGTGATGGAAAAGGATGACTAGCTCCCAGTTCTGAACCAAAATGCTGCTCTTTCCTCAAGCAAGATATTGCCTTCGTTCCTTTGGCACAAAGAAAGACATCTACTCCTTTTCCTCTCATCCTTGTTTTCTCTATTTTTTTGTGCGTTCTTCCTCTTCTCTCTATGTTCTCGTTTTTGGTGTTCTTCCTCCTCGGACTGCTGCTCTCGTCCGTCTCTTCATCTCAATCTCGATGCTCTTCTTTTCACGTTCTCCCTTCTATTCTCGTCTCAATTTTCCCTCTCAGTTTCTCTCCTATTTTTTTCAGCCAAAACCAACTCCTCTCTCCCTTCAGTTCTCTCTCGGTTTCTCTCCTTTTCTCCAGCCAAAACCAGCTCCTCTTTTTTCTATTTCACGTTCAGATCTCTCCGTCCTCCTCTTGCTCTGTTTTTCTTCTCTTTTTCTCTATACCTCTCTTCTCCAGTTTTCGTTCATCCTTCTGCTCCTGTTTTCTTCCTCTTTTTTTCTATTTTTCGGTGCTCTTGTTTTCTACATTTTTATACTCCAGGTCTCTCCCTCTTGGTCTCCTCTTTTTCTCCTTTTCTACCTTTTCTTTTAATGCTCTATTTTTCTGAGCGTTTTTTCTGTGCATGCGTGTGCTAAAAGCCCCCTCATTTCTGGCTTTGTTGCATGAGTGGTGCTTCCTCCTTTTTCTCTGCTCTGCATTTCATTTTTTTACAGCAACTCTCCACATCTCCCGGTTGCGTGTTTCATATGCAAACTTTAGCCTCTGTGTTTTTTTTTTCTTTTTTTTGCTGCTGCTGCTCTCTCTTCTTTTTTGTACGTCTACTCTCTCACTCTCCCTCCAACTTCTGCTGTGTTCCTACTGTGAGTGTGTTTCATGTCTACTCGTGTGTCTCCTTTTCTGCTCGTGTTTCTGCTTCTTCTTTTCTCTCTGTGCATGTGAGTTTGAACGAAGGGTTAGGAGCTGATGGTTAAATGCTGGATCTAGTTTCCAGCGTTTAACCTTCAGCTTATATCATTTTTTTATGTGTTTTTGTCTTCTCTCTGCTCGCGTGTGTGGCTCCTTCTGTGTTTACCCTAAAAGTAGCTTAAGGGTTGGGTGAAATACTGGTCATTCAGTGTTTCATCTGCCCAATTATTATTATTATTATTATTATTATTATTATTATTATTATTATTATTATTATTATTATTATTATTATATTTTTTTTGTTTTGTTAATGCTTAATGCCTCTTTTTTTTATGCTTTCTTTTTGTTTTTTATATAATGTTAATCATGATTTTGGAAATTGGATTAAAAGAGAAAAATCTGATTTTGAATTAAGCAAGAATATCTCTTTTTTTTGTTAGAATATATTTTTTTTAAAAAAATATAATCCTAAAAAGGATTAAATTTCATTTTTTATATATATTTTTTTGGTTAAATTTATTATTATTTTTATTGAATGTAAAATATGCCCAGACAAAATACAGTGTTCACAGTTCTGAAAGCCCATCATTAAAATTAAATCTTTTTTATATAATTTAAATTAATAAAATATTTAAGTCTAATGAGAGATTTCAAGAATCTTTGTAACGATTTAAATTAAGTACATCATCATGTGGGATAATAAATCCTCGCAAATGATGTGATTATCACTTTATATACAATAAATAAATAAATAATTTTTGTAAATAAAATTATAAACGTTTTTAATAAAATTAATTAATCAAATTAAGGTGTTCAATCTTTTGGTCATATGAGATTTTTGAATATCCATAGACCTTTAGAATAATCGTCTTATCGTATGAGTCAATAAGGCTCTGCAGGTATAGTGATTAAATTTCTTATCATAAAATATAAAAAAATAATTTTAAACTCTTTTCTTTTCAAAAAAAATAAACTCTTTATCTTTTTCTTATTCCAAAAATTTAAAAATAGAGAAAATAATTGAAATTA